GTTCTGAGTTTAAGTCATTTCTGCTCGCAATTCTTTCTTCACATCAAATGGTGCAACATTTGGTGTTTGCGTTGTGAATAGTCGACATGATTGGCTCGTCTACAAGATCAAGTGTTTCGTCAGATAAACATCTATTTTAACGGTAATTCTCACGTTCGCAGATTTATTGACCAACAATAACGTACTTCAATGAATCCAGGAATAAGTAAGTATCCATACAATCATTTAATCCAGGTGAATGTCCAAGTTCACGCATTTCTCACTCTTGAGGTGTTACCTCTTCCAGCAATTCAGATTGGTTGTACCGAAAACGTTGCGGTGCAAGTAAACCTATTCGCCGGATTTTCCTCCTGGCTGAGGTTTCTATGCCTACCATTGGCATATATTTGCTGAACCACTACTATTTACTTGTATATGCTAACCGTCGACGTCTGATAGACAACAACACAAGGTTATCTATTAGCAGCACAACCTGTGTAAATCCGAGCTTAGCCGTCGTTAGAAATAACAGTCAGGGGACGTGTCCTATCAGGCAGTGTTAGGGAAATATCCAGAGTTACAACATAAACACTGTTCCGTGCATAACCGGCATAACCGAATAACCATTGTTTCAACTGGGCATGCGAAAATTCTCCCATTTTTCCACTTTTATTTTTATCCCAGGTGCAACGAGAACTGAACTGAACAATAAAAGACACTGAGGAACGCGATCGACGTACATTCCGATTTATTGTATTTTATTGTTCACTTGCCACAACACCCTGGAATAAGTTCAGACAACCAGGGGTTACTCCACACAGTGAGCCCATCAGAAGAGTTTTACCAGTGGAGAAACTACTGGGTTTTTACTTCCGGCTGGTATCGTCTTGGGGTCATCACGAACCCATCAGGTGGGTAGTGATCTATAGCGTCACATACTTCTCCAGAATCAGTAGCCTAGGGTTCGAAAAGATTCAACATTGATGTTGACTTTCAAAGTTTGACTGAACTCGCTGGGCTTAAGGCACCCGGTCAAGCATCCTGGCCATTTGGCATCCTGTCGTGTTACATTGCACTGCTCGTATTCGACCCTCTGGCCAGTTAGTTGGAACGCATCGGTATCTTGGCACAACCACCCAAATATATTATTCCATCTGACTACACTATTGTGTCCTTTCTTGGTCGCGTATTTGTGGGTATACAACCAGCACGAATAATTAGTGACTGACCTCTGTGTCCATCAGGTTCGCACCCGGACATTTCTTAATGGTTTTACAACATATGCTGAGAAAGCCATTTTGCACCGCAGGTCTTGTTCGAAAGAAAGCAATTATTGTAGAAAGCATTAACACGGTTTTTGATTCTTATTTTGATCCTGGTTGTTGAGATTTCAAGTCATTTTTCGAATGTAGGCTAAACCCAGACTTAAAGTACGCACTCTTTTATATTTGCTATCAATTTAATTACAACCAATCCAAAGAACCTCAGATAAGTGGTTGGTAACGAGGTGCTATTTCGAATTGTCTCAGCCACCTCAATGGTGTCTCTCGGCATATCGAGCGACACGTGGTGTCTAGTAAGCTGAGAGTTCTTAAATACGTATACTGTATGCCATTATGACTATCTTTTACCGTTGCCGTATGGGGCTCATCATGAATAAGTAGAGTGAAAATCAAGCACATCAAAAGACTTACACAGATCTCAACGATTCGTACGTAAGCAACGTGAGTGAGTGACTAACAGGACTGCTGCTGAAACTCACACTATGTCACCAACAGTGTTGTGATGAAGAATTATTGATTAACGTTGTTCAGTGATCAATTATATCCTCTTTGCTTCAAGTTCAGTGATAACTACATGCATCTTGCATGAAACATGTGAACCACTACTCAAAATTGTTATCCTCAGTTGTCAACACTGTTTATGTGGTTCCATTCTATGAAAGTGACAAAAGCACTGTGTCATGCTAATATTTGTAAGCTTATTTATAAAAATGCCATGTTGATTAGACAAACATGGAATTTCACAGCCAATGACTAGTTGTTCATTGGGTAACATGTGACTACAATGTAGTAAATCGAGCAGAATTCTTTAAGAGGATAAATGTTCAGATGAGAACTTGAAAGCTGCCAGGAGACTGGCATACTCACTTGCATTACAAGATAACTGTAGTATTGGCGTGACAAAAATAACCGACTTGACAGTAATAAGTCCGATTGTATAGTAAACAACCTCCAAGGTCTGAGCATTTACTGATATGATTTCTGCACAATGAAGATATTAGGCCAACGCCATTCATGTTGGACTTCACATGTCTTCATGCGTGGGCGACCAGAGATTACTGTGGGCTTCCTTACACTTAATTCTTACTATCGTGATCTGCAGATAACTAGGACAATTTGTGAAGATTTCAGCACTCGTAATGTTCTGATTTTGTCTCTGATGATGAATTACATGAAGTGTTAATCTCTATCTGTTGAAACTCTGCAGACTGTCAATGTGGCCTATCATCATTGCTATACCTACACCTGCAAGACTACGAGAGCTAGCTATCGAATCTCTAGAAACTCGAATGGTGAATTTTGAGGATTCACCAGATTGGTCAGGAGGGGTCAGGTGAATAATCGCACTTAGGTCCTGTATGCATGTCTCACAAACACAGCATACATCCATGGCCCGAGTTGCTAGAATCTTTTGCTAACGAAGCCTGTTGACCAATGTGACCGAGGGTGCGGATATTGAAGGCTCCAACATGTAATTTAGAGCATGTTTTAAGGAGACCGAGGGTGCTCTTCAGTGGGCTCATATCGTTGTCGAAGGCCGCATAGCTAAAAGAAATTAAAGATGATGTAGTATCGTTAGTTGACAGGTGTGAAGGAAGAATAGGAGGTAACGATGGGAGAGGTGATTGACAGCCTGAGGAAACTTGAGTGCTGATCGAGCTATGAGGGCGGTTGACACTTCTCGGCTGCCCATAACGTGGAAGACTACTTCATAACGTACCTGAAAGATATCTGAGTGACCTCAGAGCCCATTGGACATCTGCTTGAGGCCTGTCACACACAGCCTTTTGTGTTTGGTTGTTTTGTACCTTTGTTGTTTCAGGGCCGGAAGGAAACGACAAGTGAACCAACACCGCCGGCCCGGCAGACCCTGGGGCATAGTGGAGTGTGTAATTTTTGGGGCTGACCTCTTCTAACCCCTTCCCTTCCACTGAGAAGGCAGCATCAGCATGGCACTGCTGGTCATCGAAGGGAAACACCTTACTGCTGTCACACCCCATCCAGCTAGCAGCAGTACGACTTCGCCCTCAGACCTACATCATAGTGTAGTAATTTACAGCACAATGGTAACTGATTTTCGTCCTACCACTATTCAGAAAACCTCCCTGGTATTGTGGGACCTCGAGGGAACAAGTGTTCCACCAGCATAGCTCGTCGGGTCATTGTGATATGCAAGCCCTACTATCACGTCTAGGTAGCAGCTATCGGTCGGGTCTTCCAGGGATCAGCATCTACTGATCTAATTTCTGCACAATGAAGATATTAGGCTAACGCCATTCATGTTGGACTTCACATGTCTTCATGCGTAGGCAACCAGAGATTACTGTGGGCTTCCTTACACTTCATTCTTACTATCGTGGTCTGCAGATGACTTGAACAAGAAACCTAATTTCTGAAGAATTCAGTTTCACAATATTCTGTTTTTGTCTCTGATGATGAATTACATGAAGTGTTAATCTCTATCTGTTGAAACTGTGCAGACTGGCAATGTGGCCTATCATTACAGGATTCCAAAAACATTTAATTCTAACTTGCATATTCCACCCTTGTTGATTTCTACACATGCAACTGGTCTACATGAGAAACCCAGGTGACAGATTCCACCTTATGTAGCTGACCAGTGTCAGATCAGTTAGAATTCACCTGACAATAAAACTTTGTAGATACATGGAACCGACCTGTTGGCATGCAACACGACTAGACTGTAGCCTTGGAAGTATTTCCATTTAATAGCTTGCTGCTTTAGTGTGACGCGTCGTTATCTTTCGTCCATCTGTATAGTTGGAAACTCTGTTTATGCATTAAACGACCAATATACATATATACATCTCCCACATCAGACATGTCATGCTGTGTACAGGTCTAGGTGACAGCGATCGACATCAGTACACCGATCAAGGTGGGGCAGGAGGCGAATCTTAGAAATACTATAAGTCCTATGTACGCATGTATTATACACGAGAAGTGACACGATCGAAATACGCAGAGCCAGGCTGGGTAAAGAGGCAGAAAAGTGGGTGTGCATTGGTCACCACGAATTATTGGTGCATTTGTGGGACGAGAACAACTTTCACAATTTTCTAGTTAGGCATCGACGTTGGCTCACAAATCACTATCTTCACTTTCAGGACTATTCACAGAAGTTATTCAATGGATCATTGCTGGCGTTGAGCAAGCGATGTAGCAGCACCTTTCTCCAGCTTACATGTACTTAGCATGGTCACTGACTATGATGGAACTGGGTCAATTGTTTCTCAGAGAGTGATCACACGAAATATTCTTACCATGCTGGCTGAGTTATGCCTTTCTGTTTGTCCACCTTTTGGAGACTGAAAGCTAGAAGATGTAACTATCAGATTCCCTGAATTCGACATCAACTTTCTTGTTTGATCATTTATGATTGGCAGTTTGTCAAGCATCTGGAAGCTCAACATCTATCTGATGCCTGAATTTCCCGAAGTGATTCACACTACATTGTTCTATGCGATCCTTGACATTTTTCTTGCTGTTGTGTTCACGGATCGACAGTATGCATAAGAGGAAGCTTGGGGGATGTCTTGTATAGGTTGGAGACACTACACATACACTTACACATGTGGATGTTCGTCACCTTTGGAAGCCGTTAATTCATCGATGAATACTTGCATCGACTATGTGCGAAAATTGTCTGTATTCCATAGCAAGTAATCGGAGGTCTTACTCGGCAAATAGTCAAGTCACATGAAAATGAAAGCTGTTATACAAAACTTTATTTTATAAGACAAAATTTAGCAGAGGGAATATTCTGCATCACTGCTGAGCAACGCCCACATGTCAACGATTGTTGTTTATGCGTGCGTGTGCCTGTGTTTGTGCTTGATTTGTGGAAGGCTGGGTTTGTGTGTATGTATGAGTATGTATGCATTTTTGCATAAAAGACAATTAGATAGAATGATGATTATTCACTTGGTTGGGGACTTTTCGCTGAAGTGGGATGGGCGAACCTCAGTTTTCCTTGTGAATTCACTGAACAAACATGCTGAAAATGGACAAGAAAAGGTTTCGTGTACATAAAATATCTATAGAGGAAATGTATTCACTTTTATGTATTATATCTTTACTGAGAACGAATATCAACTTGCATTATTTGTGAAAAGCTTAATTCCTCATTGACTTGTTGGAAATATCTCCATCAGTTCTGACGACTGTGTTCGTTGGTGTCTGTCAAGCGAGATGACCACCTGGATTTCGAAAATCGATACTTAGACAACAGTTCCAGTGAAATTAGGACATGTGACTTGACCTTCAGCACTGAACAGATCCTGTTTACCGTTGTTTTGACTTGGTTGGAAGTCTGAACGATTCAACACCATGACGAGTCATCTTTGTGGTTTGTATGTCATGGTGTGAATGCCTTTTGCGTTTTGATACCTATTTGTGAGGTGTGTGTGGAAGCTTCGAGACGCTGATCCTTCTACATGGATGCGTTGCGACATCGTCCAATAATGTGGTGACTGAGTTTGTCAATGAGGCATACAGTGTTTATATATTGCCTCTACAATGTCAAGTGAATCAGGCGAGAGACCACAGCCATTCCAGTGTAGCATGTATGACTGGGTCATGTGATGTTGACTACTCTCCGATTGACAACGAGTGTACTGTATCACATCTTTTCGAAGGATGAGGTGTACACATCAAATGACATCACTCGGGATTACACACTGATCGATGCATCTTTGAATGACTGCATGTATACCACTCTACTGAATGTTGGTCTTCATGAGATTTTGACGGAATGTTTCGTGTCTCGATATAATCGTACCACCTACACATATTTGTCAAGCAGATCACTATCCCATTACCCTTCTCAATGATGAATGCAGTAGCTGAACAGTGAATTTTTCTAGCGTCTCTACTACGAACACCGTTTATCATTGATCCATCGATATGTAGGTGATGATACGAAGTCACATCGATGTTTGTTTACTACCTATCCACATTATCAATGAAGCATATCATCCAGTGACTCAGAAGAAGAAATTTATCAAAGTTGTGACATGTTAACGCTGAAGAATCCACTTACTGGTATATCACGGAAGTAGTCGTTGTAGTCGATGCCATAACCGACTATGAATCGATTCGGTACCTCGAAGCCGACATCTGTAGGAGGAGTAAACAGAAGGTTGTGATTAAGAACACATGGATGATGATAATCATGGTGATATTCTGTAGAGAATAAAACACAATACGACTCACAGATGGCAATGTAGTTGTTGTTGCTTGTATTTCTTATAATACAAATGAATGAATTTGAAGTTGGTTTTACAACTATTTACTGTACACTGTGCAGAATACTGGTTCAGTTTCCACGTTAAATGTAAAATGGGTTGAAAGAAACGATGTCTTGTTTCAGCTGTTTAACCAATTATAGATATAACAGAATACGCAACTTTCGCATGCTTGTTCTGCACTTCCTGATGACATGCATTCACCAAATAAAACAATGTGAATATAGACAATCAGTTGTCAGGATCACTTTATCAATTCTCACTCACACATCATCTCATAAAATAATTAAAGACTATTGAACCACGTCAAGGTTTCGATGATCATAGCTATTTACTTTAGGTGCGAATAATACAAATCAACTTTCGACAGAATTTGGGCAACAGTTAGACAATCATCACATTTCACTGGTCATCTGTTTTCAACTACTAGGGGCCTAAATTGAATTCTGGATTCACTAAAAGTGTCATAGTGTGATACAACTCGTCTCGACATGAGATAGTGAAAGTCAGGAGAAACAGAAACTAATCAATAATATAAGAAGTGGTTGTGGAAATGTCATAAACTTACAGTCAGGTATATATCCAGGACAATCTGGTCTTCTCTTCAGTAACAAACTATTGTAAATGAAGAAAAAGTGAAAAGAGATTGATTTAAGTGGTCAGATTATTGATTTGAGTAACGTGAATTCATGCATACAATTGGTTAAATGTTAATGAAGAGGGAATCTCTGAGCAAGGGTTTCTGCCGATGATAGCTTGCAAGTATATTGACTAGTGGTGTCATTTGTATGGTATCTTTGAAGCAGGACCAAGTTTCAGGTGGGTTTTCAAACAGAAAATGTGTATCAGTGTGCTATGACCGAATATACAGCTGCAGATCACATTTACTTAGAGTAGTTGTTATCGGCTATCTGCTTGGACAACCTTTGACGCAAATCTATCCTCAAAAAGGCAACCAACCAACCGGTCAGTTGAAAGACGACTACATCTGTCACCAGCTTAAAAGCAACTATCAAATTCCAGCAAAGAGTATGAAGTTAGTCTAATGAAAACACAATACAGTTATGAATTACCAAGCAGAGTACAATGACAGAGGATGAAATCCACGAATATATTCTTCGATTCTAGTTAGACTTGTTCCAGTATCAATAAGATCTTCCACAATGAGTACATTCTAATCGAATAGAAAGAAATCAGTTTGTTCAATCAACAAATCAATCAACTCACCTTATTTTTAAACTTCTCCATATTCATACAGGGATTTATTCGTGTATCATGACCTACAGAATCATTCTTCATTTTGTCAATCAATAAAATTTCATTGAAACACACTACTTACAACATAGGTACTGGCTGCAATAAAATCAATATACACTCCAATATCCTTCTTTCTTGATGATATACATGCTTGTAGTCTGTCGAAGAGATCGGATGCAAATCTGAAGCCACCTTTCAAAATACAAATCATGTGGATTGATCGTGCAAAAGAGGATTCATAGTGATCCGTTATATCGGATGCCATTTTATTCAAACGATCAACAACCATTCCATTGGGAACAATGATACTTTCAATATATTTTTCATAGCGTGCTGGTAAGATGAAATTGTTTGCTAGATATCCTGGAAAATCGTCATTCAACTGTAGGAGAAATACTGAATGGTACAGACAATACTTTCAACTTACGATTATAGCGTCATCTTGATAACGTCGTGAAGGCATCTTGATGTGTGAACGTTGAAGAAGAAACAGTTCACAGTTTATATAGATGAATGTTCACCTTATTAACCAATTGATAGTCTAATATTGTGATGGCCAATCAGATTTAGACATAGTGTGAAATCTGTCTGTAACACAATAAACAACGATGATCATGTTGGTTGACTGTGAACGTGTTTTATGTCTAACTATGATCAGTTACCAACGATAAAATTTTATCTTACACAATATCTGTTAATGTTACATCTAGTAATAAGTAAACTTGATTTCACTTGGAACTGTTAACAATGATCTCTGACTTCTAATTGAACAGTCGTCAGTGAGGTTGGATAGGTTTACGTTGAGAGAATTACTTCGAGAATGAAATGTTCATGTGTGTTCCCTCTAGACAGTCATTTCTTGGTGATATGTGTGTGACATTTATTCTGGCTACGCAGCTTCAGATGACGTTTATTAGATGCCATGGAACAAATAACTCTACCAGTGTTTAGTTATTCATATAGATAAACTAGTCGAGTTTACTGGAATGTAGGAATCCAGTTGCCTACTTTAGAATTTGATTAGTCTTATATATAATTAGACTGATTTCAGTGTCTTTGATGAGTTGAAAATAACCGTACCCATCTCTAAGTTTATTCCACCCCTGAATAAGGCATATGACAGACGAATTTATGAGTAGTAACATTCAACGAGACTGAAACATCTCCCTCACAGTTCCTTCACCATTCGACTTTTACTTACCTTCATCAGCTTCTTGCTGGTCTCTGTAATTACTTTCATCTCTACTTTTCTACAATCGGAGGCTAAGTATTCGCTTCATATTTCATTGACTGTGTGTGTCATTATATGTTCAGTAATTTCTCAGGTACAGTTTGCTTATTCAGTCAATTGTGGTAGCCAAACAACCAACAGCATCTGATGACTGGTTTCTGTTTGCAGGCAAAAGTTTTCTTACTTGTTACTATTAAGTGACGATGCATGTCTTCGACAGTGGATGTGGAAATATCTATTCAGTGACTGAAGGGAGGCAGATTAGCAGTCAGGAATGTTGAAACAGTGTTAATTGGTTTGTAACAGCTAGTTTCGTACATCTAATGCGTTGCGAAGGCATTTGCTTCCCCAAATATTCATCAACATGCCGTAAGAGTCGAAGTCGAAATGCACGAATTCAAGTTTGGAAGCGTCCTGCTAATCACCCCCCACCCTGTCCAACAGGTGTTAGTACATGTACAACTTAACCTGTAATTGACAAATAGTTCCTGTCGGTTGAGATACCAGTAATCGTTTTCTGCATCGATTTCGCTCACTACTTGAGTCAGAAATGTTTGTATTGGAAAACCGAAAGTTGTTATTGCGATTGACATAGGATATTATGTTTTTGGATGTCAGAAATTTGAAAACTATATGGTCTGTGTTGTTAGACCACATTTCGATGTGTAATTTTTATATTTGATGTGTAGTAGTCGGATACAAAGTGGCTGGAACCAATCACTGAACATGTTGCAGTGAACATGCTTAACTTGTCTGATTAGTGTGGTTGCAAATGTCAACAATCTGTGTTGACGATGATATAAAGGATGTGAAGTACTGCTACCCCAAGCATGCAAACATCTGAGACTTGAGTTTTCTCTACACCAACATCTACATGATACTGAGTCGGGTAACCGAGTAAATTGGTGAGCCCTGTTAGTTTTAATGACTCGGAAGTGGGACTACACCAATTGTTAAGCATCTGCTATGAATATTCATGACACAGTGTAGTCCTATTGAAAAAGGATGTGTTCAATGTCAGTGTAGCTTTCTTCATGAAGATTTAAGGCGACTCATTTCAAATGAGCATAACTTGCTCCATTTTCATATTGTTGTTACTTGAAGTAAGAACTCAGTTAGGAAGTTTGCAAAGATGACACACAGGCTGGTCTTCAGTTATACTAAGCACTAGTGATGGACTGAAAAAACAGATGTATGTTTCTACATGCATTACTTCACAAATATACATGCTTCAATCTAACTCAGCAATATCATCTGTGGTCACTATCGAACACTGAATTAACATTGTCTTGCTACTGAATAATTGAAATCAACCAATTGTTTCTGATTTCAATAGATTTTCAATTATAACATTTTATGCGAATTTATATGTAACCATTATCTTTGGTTATTTTGTGACCAAAGTGACAGTGCTGGAATCGACATTTAACAGCCAGAAAGTGTTTTGGTTGAAGAACTTCTAGATAATATGTTAGAGAATGTTATCGGTCAGAGAAGGAATTCACTCTGAGTGAGTGTATATTGACCTCCAATTCAAGTGGAATGTTTATTATTACAAGTATGAAGTGTATTAAATTTTAATTAGTTTTTCTGTGTCGATTAGTCTATGTCTGTGTAAGTGTAAGTGTCCATATTTCCTTAGAATACTGTTGGGTAGACTACTGTCTCAAAATACCCTGAGTAATATTAGTCACAAAGAAGTTGGAGAACGAGTGAAAATGACACTTAGGTAATATGAATATAGGAAATTTGCAAAGTGAACTATGACATAGGTATTATTGAGTGATGATAGGTCCAACTTGTCTGATGAAAACAGAGTAGAGACAGTGTACATTTCTGAAATGCTCTACTTTTGAAGAGGACAATGTAAATATGTTCTTTAGATTGTGAAGCGTAGCACCTGATTTCAGCTAACCAACATCCTCTGTGAAGATGCAGAGATCAGAGTGAAGATATACAATCTACCTGAATTTAAACTATCGGTTTTTGAGCATTCAAATTGTATTTCCAACTTTAAAATTCCTTGCCAATCTGAATTCGTCAGCCTTGTTTTCCCTTAATATTATTTACAGACAGCCAAGCAGTTACCTTACACGTAATTTTTCATGTTTGATTGCAGTTTGTGTAATCTGGTCTGTTGATCGAAATGTGGTTTGCAACTATATTCGTGTTTTGTTAAAATTATCAGTCAGCATATGCGTGAAACTGAAGAAATGTAGTCCAACCTGGTTTTCTATGCCGTTACTAATTTTCATTACGTTAGAATTTGGCGAATCATATCTATGGAGTGCCACAAACTTTTATCAACCTCATTCAACAGCTATATGCTATATGACGATGCTACATGCCAAGTGATTCACAGTGAAAAGCTCAATGATACCTTTGAAGTGAAAACAATGAAGAGGAGTAAGACAAGGTTGTCGCTTAATATCACCGATCATCTTCCTGATTGACTAGATGCAACTCGACTCGACTCAAGTGGATCATGAAACAAACTGTGAGTTGCTGGTGCGACCAATGAAAAGACCTTAGAAGAAGAATTGAATTTCACCGATGATGATTTATGTCCAATGTCTCATCGCACAAACTTGAAGATCTACAGGCGAAAACCAAGAAGTTGGCAGAAGAGGCAGGGCAACGAAGGTAAGTCTTCCTGCACGTGAACATAGAGAAGACAGAGGTGATGAAGATACCCAACCAGCAACAACAACAATGACAACCAGCACCAGTCACCATCAACAGGAGAAATCTAAACGAAGTTGTCTCTTTCACCTACCTACCAACTTCGGCAGCATCATTTCAAATACAGGTGCGACAGGGACAGATGTGGATGTCAAAGCAGCCAGGATCGAAAAGACACCAAAACAGGCCATGTAGCATCAATCCGAAACCAATTAGTGTGGAGATCTACTCCACTCAACTCAGCATAAAGTGTGAACAAGATCAGATTTTAAACACTAATGTTAGTCAAGTAAGGTAGTGTTTCTGTGTGATGGTTGAGAGACTTAGCGCCTTACTAAATACATTTCCAATAAACTAAAGATAAACGTCAATAGCTCCTGCGTACGTTCCCTCACTCGAATCTGAAGATGGAGGTCAGATGACCAGAATAATAAGAATAAGCAACAAGGAACTATGGTCTGGCTGCCTGGCTGCAACGAACCAACCGACCGCCTACTGTCCAGCAAATATACAGTAGAAAAAAGTGGATATGGAATGGATTGGACATATAGTGAGAAGACGATTTGGGGACATCACGTGCCAGAACAGGCCGTCGAGTGGAAGCCAAATGGGAAACGACGAATTGGGCGTCCTAGCAGAGGGTGACATGGAGGTGATTGTGTGAGTAAGAAATGAAAGCTTGTTGAGCAGTGTACAATAATTTGATTTGGAAGTTTGCAGGAATCTTTCAACTCTAAGTAGGTATTCATCTTGGATGGATGGTTGCTTTAAATTAGGAAATGATACAAGTAATAAAATTCAGACTATTACATCTAGACAAACTGGAATCTAAATGTGTTCTGTATTCAAGTGATATATAGGGTAAGTTGTTATAAGTGGATATACATCAACATGAACGCAAAAAAGTAGAAAAATCAAAGAAAACATAAACTGAAAAAACTTAGTAAAGACATGAAATGTATCCCCCAAATTTTGTTTTAAAAAAACCAATAAACAAGAGTAGATTGATGTGAATAATTGTCGACAAAAAGTGACACAAAATAGTGACCTTCAAGCAAGTGACCTTGGCGAACTTCCAGCTAAAACGCGCAATCAATACTTAGTTTTAATGTACTCACTACTTTTATTTGTTGATAAATAATCAATTGATTTCCTATTCCTAAATTACTTCATTTTAATTAAACACTTAAAGAAATGTTAAGGTAATTAGAATGGTGAATGATAGTTAATTACAAATAATTTACTCATATAATACCTAGGATAAAGCTATTGGTAGATAAATTATTATCATTATTATTATTATTTGTCCCTTGGGTTCCTAGTGGAACATACGACATCAGTAGCATGTCTCCATTCCACTCTCTGCTCTGCAGTCTTTCCAACCTGTCACCACGACTGCCCACAAGACTTCCATTTCTTCCTCACATGATCTCCTCCATGTCACCACAGCCTCCGACGTCCAACTCGTCGTTTCCCATCTCGGTTCCACTCCACACCCTGAACTGTCACGTGATATCCCAAATCGTCTTCTCACTGCATGCCCAATACAATCCATCTCCACTTC